GCAGCAGCAAGCTCTAAGTGGCGCTTAGACCAGAGCTTCTGGCAAAACCTGTGGTCCTTCCAGAGGCGAGGAATGCCTCCACCACTGTCTAATTCCTTTAAGAACTGAATGAGTGACACGTGTGCTTCTATGTAAAGTTTTAGTCCAGGTTCTGATTGCATCCTGCGCCGATAGACATTTATTTGTAGAGGTTTCATTCAGGTCTATCTGAAAAGTCTGTAACCATATTGTTGTTATCTTTTTCTTTTTTCCTTCTTCTTTTTTTTTTTTTTTTTTGCATGTGATAATATAACCACAATCCTGTGGGAGGCCCTCATTCTGCCAAGGATCTGTTAAGAATCTGCCTGTCCTCTGTGGTGTCCAGTGGCAGCAAGCAATGGTAGGCTAGCTGATGTACCAGCATATCCACGCATCTTCAGAAACTCAGGCCACAATTAGCAGTAGGTGAAACCCATCAGCAAATGTTGATTTTAGTCCATTTCAAATAATGAAGCTGAGTTTCTTAAAATCAAGATCATATTGTCTGTATTTTTGTCCATTTTTTTTAAAGTGGAATTTCTGAGGCTGCTAAAAAACAAAGCAACAACAAAAAATAGTTCCACCAAAGGGAGCTCAGTTTAAACTTATATCTAGTCAAATCAATTAAGCTCAGGGATTAGCAGTCGTGGAGTTCAGGCTGATTCCAGCTCAATGGTAACAGAAAAAATCTTTGGCCCTACAACCTGGTTTTTCAGCATTTGTCTACTGAGTGAAGGTTCAGAGGTGAGAGATACCAAGAAAGCCTGTATTTCATTTGATTCAAGTAGTTTGTTTCTAGCAAGAATACTTCATTTTTTTTCTTTGTGGGCAGCTTAAATGCCATCATATAACTTTGAGAGCCTAGTACAGAACAGCTGTGTGTCACTTTCTGATAAGCTGGAAGAGATGTAATTAGATGAGCATATACAAAAGCCAAATGAATGAAGAACGGCCTGGAAACTCTTAAAATAGCATAGCAGGAGGATAAAAAGGTGTCAGTCTCCATTAGTAACATCAGTGAATGGCATCACTTCTTATAACTTAACTATGTGGAACCATGAAGGTTAAGAAAACTTCGAGCATTCCCTGCGTGGGAGTTCTCTGGGTTGTTACTGCATGCCAGTGGACTGAAAAGAGGGAAATTAGGTTCCAACAGTCACCCCAAATTTCTCCACATTCACGTGAATCTAGTCCTCAGGTGAGCTGGGATTCCGAGAAACCCAGCTGTTGACACAATTCCTGGAAAAGTGTGTATAAAGCTCACTTCTGAAAATATTTTATTTTATTATAAAAATGAACCTTAGTTTAAAAAAAAAAAAAGAAAAAAGGGCTGCAAACTGGAAGCCTTTTGATTCTCCAGCAAGGAGAAAGAAAGTGAGAAAAAATGAAACATCCTGCTTGCATTTTCATAGAGGAATTCACTACTTTTGACAGGGAAAGGCAGAAAGTAGAATACAGCTTGAAACAAAAGAAAATTATGCTAATCTGAACCATCTCGGTTATTTCATGTCTTTATTTGAAGTTTCCTTGAGGAGGGCAGAACAAAAAATCAAGCCAGCAAACCCCAGAGGGTTATTTTTAATCTGTGCAAATGTGTTTTTTATGAATTCAAATTCAGCTCCCGGTAGACCAGCCCAAAACAGTTGTTTTAACAAGATTAGCTAATTTCCAAATCCGCGGTACTGTTTCTGGCATCCGCACCAACTGGTCTTGGCCAATTCTCCTGAGTAACAGCGCTTCTGAGCTCTTTCATGCTGTATTGCCTGTCCTCAGGACTTTGCTCCAGGAGATACAGAACTTCACTGGGGAGCTGAACAAGTTGTTTGCATGTGGTGACACACTTTGACGGGCAGCTAATGTTCCCTTGGCACCCAGAAGATTTGCATGAGAATACAACAAAACGAGGCAGGAGCAGCAGAGCGGGAAACACCATCCTCTGCCTGTCCTCTGTAGGGATACCAGCACTTCCTGAAACGAGACCAGTGGACAGATGGAATTTATCCCATTTGGTCTCAATCACAGTGAGCTAGAAGCCCTTGGTTTGGCTGTTGGGTTGTTTGGGTTTTTTTTCTGTTTTTGTTTTTTTCTGACAATCTGAAACAAAGCTATCTGGGGCCTTGAAAGGTTCTTGTACCACTATTATTCTGTGACTACACAGGAGAAAGAGAACAGTTAAATAGACTTGTATCCTTTATTTCAGGTTTCTGCACTGTTTTCCCTTTCTAAGTGACTCTTACCTGGCCATTGTTTATGGCTTCAATCTGCAGTAGCAGTTCCAGGGCTGTTAGATGGTGAAAAGAGTTCTGACCTTAGGTTCCCTCTGACTCCCTGGATCAGTTGTCTCCATTTAAGAGTCTGGGCTTTGGGGGCAGCTGGGACACACAGGGTTTGACAGCATGGTTCCCAAAACTCCTTTAGTGAGTCCAATGTGATGCCTGCAGTATGTTTGGCCCACAAGAACAGGCCCTTCAAGAACAAAGAAACTCAAAGTTCCCTCCATGCCACTTCTCTTTTCCTCATCCTGCATACAAGCACAGGCTCCCAAATTGGCATACTAAGTAAAAGGCTTAGCCTTTGATATTGCTTCTGCTTCAACCTTGTAAGACTCTGTAACTGCAGCCCAGTAGATTGCAGATGACTAATCCTCCTACGGCCAGAATTATACTAGGAAGTTCAGGTTGTGTCTACTTCTCTGGCCTCCTTCTTTGGCAGGCTAAATATATGTGTGAGGTAATTCATTAGCCAGCTTTGAAGTACATCTGTTTTAAGACAGTTCCTTAGGAGCTTGTGGAAGACGGATCTTCTGTGTGCTGTGATCCTTGCTCACAATTAGATAGGTAAACAACACTGATTAAACAATGAGACTTATGTGGATGTTCTCTATCAGCCATATGAAGACATTTGGTTTATGTTTGCCTTAAGAGCCAGAAGGATGCTTCCAGATAGACTCTGAAGTACATGCTTGTTCTATAAATGATGCGTTCTGCTGTGATGGCTAAATTGTGTGGCTACCACATCACAACAGAACAATAAAAAGGTGTGAGATGCAGTAAGGGAAAGAATTAGAAAACATTATTTCCTAGTGTCTTCAGTAAAAAAATACTGAATACTGAAAAATGACCCAAAAAATCTCTTCAGCAGCTTTGAATTTCAAGTGCTTGGTGACTGACTGTATGCACTTCTCATCTGGACACAAGTTCCTGTTTTCATTCAGTTCTGAACTGACATCGCAACAAGGGATGCTGAGAAACCTCATCAGCTTTGGTAACACACTAGTGTATGCTCTATAGATGCAAATGGCTTGTCAGCTAGCTAACAGAACTAGAAAGGAAAACACTTCTCATTTAACAGGAAATGTCACATCTTTAGAAGCTTTTCCCTTTCCAAAACCAAAGCCAAAAAATTTCATGCGTCTCAGAAAGATGCAGGTTGAAACTCCCATACATTCTCAGAGATTAGGTTGCTTATGATCATTTTATTTGTTTCAAGTTAGCAAACTGCTCAAACCATAGCTTGTTCCATGGTACCAGTGGCAGCTCAGTGCTCTGCATGGTGCATCTAAAAATGATACAGCATGCAGGGAAAACAGAGGAAATTATTTCAGAGATAAAAGCAACAACAGCAATCTCACTTGCGTTTCACTACCATTCTGCTTGCAGTTCCTCTGTTAGTCTCAAGAGCTGGTGCCCTGGTAACGACAGAATTCTGCTCCCTTCTCTTTAAACCTGCCCTCAGACAAGGCGTCTCCCTAGAATCAGTCTACATATCGCTTCACTCGTCCTTGACTGAACAGACCCTTACTCTGACGTTGACTTGGTTTTGGAGGTGCCATCTCTGCAGGCTCTTACACATGCCCATGACCAGACACAAACCGTCTATAGTCTGGAAGCTCTATAGCTATGGTGACACTGACAGAGCAGGCCAAAATGAGTGGCAGAGAGAAGTGCAGGAAATGAAGGTTTACCATATTCCTGTGCAACCTCAGTTCCTGGAATTGAATTGTCAGGCTACAGAAAAGCACACCTGTTTATTAATTAAATACCAAATGGACTGTACAGCAGGTGTTTGTACTTAAGAGAGACCTCATTGCAGCCTTTCAATACCTAAAGGGAGCCTACAGAGGGGAGGGGAGTCAACTCTTTGAAAGGGTTGATATGTGTAGGACAAGGGGAAATGGTTTGAAGTTGAGGGAGGGGAGATTTAGGTCGGACATCAGGGGGAAGTTCTTTACCCAGAGAGCAGTGAGGTGCTGGAACAGCTGCCCAGAGAGGCTGTGATGCCCCGTCCTTGGAGGTGTTCAAGGCCAGGCTGGATGGGGCCCTGGGCAGCCTGGTTTAGCATTAAATATGGAGGTTGGAGGCCCTGCATGTGGCAGGGGGTTGGAGATTCATGATCCTTGAGGTCCCTTCCAACCCTGTGATTCTGTGATTGATAGAGTTATATTAGGTTTCAAGGACTGAATAAAATGTTTGTGGAAACCAAAGATAAATTTGTGCCTAAAGTGACCTGATGCTATTTATTTAATAACTGAACTGTTAGCCAGCTTACTGGAGGTTAAAACATCTTGATATGGCCTTAAACTGTGGTCACATTTCCTCGATCTCCTCCATAATTTGTTCAAGAGCAGTCCTAGTAATCAGAAATCTGTCAAATAAACCCAATCATGAGTGTATTTTTCAATGATGAGAGAATTTTGCGATGACAGAGACTTGTTAAATCATTTGCTCCATCTCCCAGCTAATGTATAACTTGTCTCAATAATGCGTTCGTCATTGTTTTATTCTGTGTATTTATTCTGATATTTATGATCTTATAAATTCTCAGAACTGCAGTCAGATCTTTTTGCTGAGAGAGCTTTGTCCCAACCTTCACAACAGGCCCTTCTTACTGTCGATGTTGCCTCCACTGTCTATCTTAGTGCTGCAGTTCCTTGTCTCAGCTACGTGCTATAGAGGTAAATGTTTCTAGTGCGGCTCTTTTACCTTGCTGATGAGGCTGGGATCGCCTTGGCTGCTCTTCTCATCTTCTGAACTCTTCTGTTCCTCATCTGATGTGATGACCTCCACAGGTATCACAGAGACCGGGCATACCTTGTAAGGCTCAGTGTAGGCACTATAAAGAGAAAGGACAGACTAGCTCACCAACAGAATTCCGTTAGCTGCTATTGCTCAGACACAACAAATCCATGCGTTGCCCAGAACTAACCAGTCAGAGGACAGGGGATCCCTGCAGACCTTCCAGGCTTGGAAAGCAAGTTTTCTCAAGCTTTGCTTTTTGCTTCCTAGATCAACAACCATTTAGGCAAATAGACAGATGTACAAATTCAGTTACCTTCCCACTGCTATGTTTACAAGTTTCCCTAGAGGATGACTGCCTCAGCTTAGTTTGGAACAAAAATTTGACTGGGTTCATACTTAATTGGTACATACATAACTGGTTTGTTCTTCCCTAGACAACTCAAAATGGATGGAATAAAATCACACTACCGTTTTAGTGCTTATTAGAAATGGAATTTAAATATTGTAGCAATGTAATTATTGATTTTCTGAGAAAGAGGATCAAAAAGATAAGAAATTTGTAAGAAATTTAGTGTATTTAAAATGGCATTACAGCATGAGATATTCAGATCTCACGATCCTTGAGTTGTTTTCAGGGAATCTGAATTCAGCTCCAGAAGCCCAGAGAAAGTGATGTGATAAAAGTATAGAATCTGGTGTATCACAGGCCAGGGATTTCCCAGCTTTCAAAGTGCAAAGAGTGGCCTGTGTTTCCCATGCAGGTTTGGCTGTCCGCTTTTCCTTCATGTGCAGAGGCAAGCACCTTATGCAAGCTGCCAGCAGCTGCACTGTTCCTCACCACTGTCTGCTTTTGTTTATTATTCGTGTCTGCAGTTTTTCAGCGTGGGTGGCAACACAGCACTTCCGAAGCACTGCCTCGCTGCAATAACAAAGGGGCCACTGTGGATCAGCGCCACCTCTCATTTCGCCACTTCTATTGACGCTCAGTGCTTTATTTTTGAATCTGGAGGACACTTGCATGCTCCCAGGCTCTAACAAACATGTGACTCTAAAGCCAACCTGCCCCGCTGACCAGCAGTGAGAAATTAAAGCCTCACCATGCTGTCACGGGTTGCTCATTTCAATAGCAGTATGTTTGGCAGAAACTGAAGACAGGTGAGTTGTTACAGAAGATGAATTCAGATAAAATTGTTTTGCTTTAAGGAGCAGTTCTTTGCTGGATCTCCTAATTCCAGCCGATCCCTGCATTCAGCTCTATCCTCAGGCTCAGTACAGCATTTGAAATATTCTGATTATCATCTTGTAACCTTTTCCCTCACTAAAAAGTGGATATTATTAACCTTAAATAGGACATGCAGGGGGCAAGATAGAAAAAAGGCATTACCACTGATTCACTGGGCTTTGCTTCAAGCCATCTCAAACTCTTCAGTTCTGCTTTTATCTTTAATTCATGTAAACTTCTCAATTGTTGTTTTGACCTCTTTGCTTTGTCCTTACGCTTTATCTAACCCAGTCCATCCTCCATACCTCAATGCTAGTGGAATTTTTCTTCTTAAAAGAAGTTACTGTAGCTGCCTGCCAAGGGAAATCCCTTTGCAACGTGCAGTCTCTCATATTGTTCATGCCAAGAGCTGAAGAATAAAAGATGTTAGTAAAGCAACTAAAAGTGAGCAATACTTGTAGTTTGAAATCCAATGTATGACTTAATAAATGCATGATCTGCCTTTGACAGAGGTGAGAACAGCTGCTTCTCAGGACACATTTTCGCACGCAAAATTATGGTACAGGGTGCCAGCTGTGCTAAGTGGTGACAGATCTCATTACTGCCTGGGTGTTTTGTTTAATATCAGCGCACAGGTAGTTTACTCCCTAACATGAGTCATCAGCAAACAGCATGCTACTCCTGTTTTGCAGTTTCTTCTCCAACTCCAGATGAACACACAGCTTCTACTGCTTTTGTACGCTGGTCTGTTTATTCTGTTGTCCGCAGGCACGTTCTGCATTAGGTGCCCCAGAGCCCATAGGAGAAGTCACAAGTAACTAAAGAACTGATCTGTGCTACGGATCCTACAGAAACCATTGCAGGCGAAGTGGATGCTGAGTTTCTTCATAGTTGTTTGTGCTTCCGCCAGATCTTATTCCACTAAATTCTGGAACCTGACCATGAGAAAAAAAAAAAAGTTCTGACCTGCCCCAACGGCCTCTTGAATGGTACTTTTTCTCATTAGCTATGTCGAGGGTTGACAAAATTAACTTCATCTTGTGTCAGGATGAAGAAGTAAATAAAGCTGCCTATAAAGTAGCGTGCAGCCTTGGTAGGCCTCCTTAGTGCATGACACCATAAATCAAAGAAAATACTGTACACTAGAATGCAGCGTACTCAAAGGCAAATATTCCTGAGGACTTTTGCTGTTCCCACTATTTTTCACGTTATGGCTGCTGAGACACACTTTCCTATTTAATCCACCAAGAATACATGTGAACTATCTTCACTACTAAGCAAAAACACACTACTATTTCAATTACTTGTTGCTGATATGATTTCTTCTTTTGCAACAGTTTGCCTACTATAAGGCTCATGTCACAGAGGCTCTTCTTTGTCCTCTCCAAGCAATGACCTGAATGTCAGTTCTGTAGACTGGGTGGGCTCTGATGACAAACTCAGCTGTCCAAGGGACATCACGTGCTTACAGTGATGGCATCCTCTGACACCATTTGGACAATTTGGCTGCTGATCTCTGCTCATCAAGGCTACCTGGCAAAGCTGAAAAGATAATCTTTTTCACTTCTTTCTTCTTTCCCACAACTCCCCCCAAAAATGAAAAAATAAAAAAAAATTATGTAACAGTGACTGAGCATCCGTGCTTTATCTGGACTGCTGTGGCCATTTCTGCTTATAAATGTCTGCAAATTAAAAAACAAATTTTGCAGAAGATTCTCAAATTCCAACTTGTTACGCTGGAATCAGTTTCAAATTTGCCCACTTAATGTATTTGTGATTTTTTATTTCAGAACCTCTGTGACATGAAATCTGAAAATGTGATGCTTCCTCAAAGGGATGGATAATGATAATAACTACTAATCGTTTAAGCAATAATGAAGTCCCTTTTTCATGATTCCCTGATGTATTTTTGAAATGAAGAATGATTTGGACTTTCCTCCTGAAGAGGGATAGAGGGAGAGGTGTGAATGAACTGATTTTGGAGTTTTGTAGATATTCTGGCCACATAAAACAGTACAGTTACAAACTGTACTAACATCCCTTTTGCAACCATTCATATTTAACGCTGGTCATCTTTTACAGACAACAGGTCCGAGCTCTTCTACAAATGATAAATAATTTCTCTTAGTCCATGGGTTCTGTGACGACAAATTGCTTATACCTGCTGGTCAGAGCTGTCTCTTTGGATCCTGCTGTTCATCTCATCCCACCTGTGAATAACAGGCACATTGCACTGTCTTCTTACATCCACACTGTTGACAGCTTTTTTTAAGTTGAAATGTCTGCTGATGAAAAACGATCTTAAAGCATTCAGGAAAACCATTCATGCTTGCTGAAAAAATCAAACTGGGAAAAACTGTTTTGTTTTTTTTAATGCTTTTGAACCAAAAGCCAGATTTGGGAGTGCAACCCTTTTGTGGCTGTAATTTTGCAGCACCCTAATGCAAAACAGCTTCTGCTTATTAATGGAAAATATTTGATAAGCTGCCAATTTTTTATTTAATTTTTTACACTATTCCTGTTTCTAAAATTGTACTTCCACAAGTACAGAGGAATGTAAGTACAAAATAGCACAACACTTTTGTTTTCCTTAATTTGCAGATGGGATTTTAATTACTCAACATTTTGCTCATTAAAAATTCTTCAGAGAATGAGCTAGCAGCAGCAAGAGGATATGGTGCAGAATGGCTCTGAGCTCTGAAGCTAACTCAGCACAAATGAAAGCAAGAGCAAGGCAGACACAGGAAAAGCTCAGTAGGCTTATTAGCACGTCAGCCAGCCTCTATCCTTACTCGCTCAGCCTTTCTGCAATTTGTAATTGTTTGTACCAGCAGACATGGTATTAAGTTTTTCTCTCTCAGAAGACAAATGACTGCATTATGTTGCTGTAAGAACACATAATTTAGGAAGAATGCCTCAGTATATTGCTCTGGTGATCATTATGAATGGTGCTATTAAAAGCTTATACAGTAGCAAAACTTGCAATATTGCTTGCAAACTTGCAAAATTTTTGAATGGGCTTCATTTATAGGATGCATGTAATCCAGCACTTCTGTTTAAAAACAGATCTCTAAATATTACGGATTTCCTCTGCCCTTTGATGAGCAACGGTGTGTTTGTGCCGCCCTCCCCGTCTTGCCTTTCTCCAGGCAATCCAGCAGCACTCAGGTCTTCATTCTGAGACTTCTCTGTATTCTCATAAAGCTCCTGTGGATTACACATTTCTTAACAGCCTGAGGCTTTGTGGGACAGTCAACTTTAAATTGACTGAATCAGTGCATGAGAAGGCAGTGCAACAAAAATCATTTTATTCAGCCCCAGTTGCACTATTACTAGCAGAGCTGCTGACACAGAATAGGGAGAAGCTGTATAGATGCACTCTGCTACTTTTGTACCTTCCCCTGTGAACAGGTCTTGGTCCATCTGGAAAATGATTTTCTGGAGTCTACAGACTTTGGCTATCCTGCTCCAAATGTAATGCTGACATCCGACACCAAAGGAAAAGGATGTGTGGACTGAGCAGACTTTAGAATTAAGCCATCAGGGAAGGGGAATCTGAACTGATGGCTATCACAGCACAATCTCTTTGTTGATCATGCTAAGTACTGTCTGTGGTCACTCCATGGCACAGGTTGGAACAGGTCTGAGCACAGACTGTGCGTGCACAGGAACTGAGGGAGCAAGAGGAGACTCGCAACAGGTGTGAGAGCTCGTTGGAAATGATTCACAGGCTGGCATATACTGTATGTTTTCACCTTGACTGTGCAGCTCTTGGAGAAGCACTTGCCATTCTTCTATTCTCTACACCTATCTTTCAAACAAATTTGCAGATTCTACTCCATTCCTTAGCAATGAGCAAACCAGTTCTTTTG